CTCGCAGGGAGCCTGTATGTCCTACCGGGGCATTAGTGCCCGTCACGAGCATCAGTGGCCGACCAGGGGCTCTGCACCCCGAAACCAGACCTCAGGCGCATCTCCGTCGAGCCCAGCACTCTTCATCCTGATGCAGTCGCCTCGGCACGGGTCAAGGTTGTTTCAGCAAAGCTGACGCCCCTCCAGCAAAAGAAAAAAATCTTGATGCAGCATGGAGCGCTCAGGATTTTGTGAAGAGGGAGAACAGCGAGAAAGCGTAAGGGCAGGGGAGTTAGATCAGCGCGAGCGCCGGCAGGACCAGGCAGAAGAGCCTTCAAACCCTGCGCGCTGCCGCCCTCATGGCTGGTTGGCCTCCTTCTAGGGGAAGAGGTATTTCTCGCCAAAACCCGTCCCGCACACCATGACTTTGCTCGCAGCAGTGTGCTGCACAGCTGCGCACCATCTCCAGGGGTGGTCCCAAACTCCGTACCGTACCCCAGCTCCTATGCAGCGGCACTGTGCCCGGCCAGCTCAGGCTGCACGTGAGCCAATGCTGCAGGAGGGAGAGTGCAGAGCACCAGTCCCGAAAAGCCACTTCTCCCCGAATCGTTCCCATCTCACCAGCTACGCTCCTGGAATAGCCATCAATACCTGCAAATCAAAGAGCAGTTTCAAACCAACCCACTGAAGAGCTCCAACAGGAACTCCACAAGACACTGTCCCATCTGCTTTTGGGACCTTGCAATTGCAAAGAAGTCCTTCGATTTCTCAGTTCAGGATGAGGAATGGTATCAGTACTAGGCTGCTCTCATTTTTCATTATCTTGTTTAAACCCACCATCCAACGTAGCCGAAGCAAACACCACCAAGGCGCACAGCAGTCGATCCCCACCAGAAAGCACGTGAACCCCACCAGAACCTCTCCACGAGCCCTGGCTAACAGACCTGAACATGCTCCATTTACAGCTGACACCCCAAATCACACCTAGCAGCCTCCAGATGTTTGGTATTCACTTACCTCCAAAATGGACTGGGTGTTGGCCTCGCTGCCAACGCATGGGGCAAAAAAAAAGATGGTCCTACCTCTTAGAATCATAGAATCATAGAATCGCTTTGGTTGGAAAAGACCTTTAAGATCATCGAGTCCAACCTTTAACCTAACCCTGCCATCCCACCACTAAACCCTGTCCCTAAGCACCTCATCTCTCCTTCTTTTAAATACCTCCAAGGATGGGGACTCTACCACCTCCCTGGGCAGCCCATTCCAGAGCCTGACAACCCTTTCAGTGAAGAAGTTTTTCCTAAGATCTAACCTAAACCTGCCCTGGCGCAGCTTCAAACCATTCCCCCTCGTCCTATCATCTGTTACCAGGGAGAAGAGGCCGACCCCCACCTCCCTACAGCCTCCGCTCAGGCACGCGGCGAGGGCGATCAGGTCTCCTCCCCTCAGCCTCCTCTTCTCCAGACTAAACAACCCCAGTTCCCTCAGCCGTTCCTCGTATGACTTGTGCTCCAGACCCCTCACCAGCTTGGTTGCTCTCCTCTGGACATGCTCCAGCAATGCAACATCCTTCTTGTAGTGAGGGGCCCAAAACTGAACACAGTATTCGAGGTGCGGCCTCACCAGCACCGAGTACAGGGGCACGATGACTTCCCTTGTCCTGCTGGTCACACTATTCCTGACACAGGCCAGGATGCCATTGGCCTTCTTGGCCACCTGGGCACACTGCTGGCTCATATTCAGCCGGCTGTCAACCGGTACCCCCAGGTCTTTTTCTGCCAGGCAGCTTTCCAGCCACTCTTCCCCAAGCCTGTAGCGCTGCATGGGAAGCTGGGAGTGGTCACCATGTGCCCTCGCTTGAGCCTTCCTGTACAGCTACCGGGATACACCACTGCAGCCACCCAGTTCTAGTTTTGGTATCCTCAAGAGACTGCACTGTTTAGTTTAACTTGTTGGCCCTTTTCAGGGAAAGCTGAGACAGACAAATGCCTCAAAACAAAATTCTTACTAAGTGTCTAGGTAGAAGACAGAACCACAGCATTCCCCCTGAAGAGAAGGCCATGGCACAAAGTATAAATCTGTATTTTTATACACCAGAGAATCCCCAGGGAAGAGAGGTCCTGTGACACAGCTGCATGGAAACTTCTGATCAGAGCTTACACCTTATCAGACACACACAGAATCAGCCTTCAAGTTCTGTGCATGGCGGGGATTCCCCCTCGTTCTGCCCATTCTCAGGCAGGGGTGGGGTGGGAGAGGGAAGCAAGGTCTGCTTTAGGATTCGGGGTTATTTTACCATTTTCCCCAGACGTGCTGAACAAATTGTGCCATCTTTGTCTGTTAAAACATTAATTTATTATTCCCTCCTAGTAAAAAAGTGAAAAGCTATGCTCTGTTAGATCAGTAAGATACAGAATTACCCCAGCTCATTGGAGTTTTTTAGATACAACTTCGAAACACAGTATTCCACGACGGAACAGCAAGTACCTTTCTTAAGAAAGGAAATGCTATAACGGGTCAGCCTTTTACTTTCAAGCAGAAGATGTATCCATTACGGGACTCCCTTTCTGTCCAGATGACTCCTGCAAAATACCCTAACACCCTCTGGGCAGCACATACGGAAGGTTTCCTACAGAGAAACAGGTCTTAAAGAAGTGACTTCAGGAAACAAGTGCAAGTTCCTTTTAAATCTGTTTTATAAGAAGGATACCAATGTACATTTTAATAGTTTTATTTTCATTTTCCCCAAGGGGGAACGAAAGGCAGAGAGGTGTTGTGAGATACATCACACTGTTCTTACGGGTAAATCAATTTGCAAATGTTATTTTACCACTCTATAAAAATACACACAGGAGTGTGAAGGAAGCAAAGTAGTTCAGAGTGGCTGTCATGGAGCAAATATGTTAAATACAATCAGATTTATTTTTTTTTTTGCCCTAAAAATTGTGGCTCCTTGTGTTCCATAAAACCAAAGTCTTTAGCAGCCACATGCCACAGGAACAGAAATTTAAGTGGTAGCTTCCTTTGAGCAAGTGCACACAAAAGCATTAGTAAAGAACTGCTCCCATGGGGCTAGACAGCAGATGTGAGCGACAAAGCCCCATCCGCAACAGGAAAGAAGATATGCATTCAGTTTTATTCCCATCCAAACTCCTGTAAACAGGTTCCATACCATTCAGGCATCTCTGATAAAAGAGTCTATAGTTTTATAAAAAGAAGTCACGCTGTAAGATCAAGATATTTACCCTGTATGTGTTATGTGAACGCAAAGAGGAACAACCTTCCAATTTCTCAAACACATCCGAGCAATCTGTAAGTGACCCAATTCCTTTCTCTGTCCAACTGCACTGTGGGAAACTCGGTTAAGTGCCTCTTCACAGGTAGAGACAGTTTGCTTTTAAAAATATTAAGGACAATTTTTTTTTTTTATCTTTAAGAACTTCCTGGAAAGTTACTGTGGAAAATGAAAGTGCTGCCATGGTGAGACCAACGTGCAAAGCTCTATAGACTTCTGTCCTTGCTGTTTTCTTAGTATTCCTTCCCTTAGCAGATTCATGTTAAGATGAGGCTCGATACATCGCAACGAGGCCATCATCCACCTGTAACAAGCAGGTAGACACTGAAAAATGTTTTATGTTTAATCATAAAACGTGGAATAAGCTGAGAAAATATTGTTCAGATATGATCGGGATGGTCTCTCGAGTGGGTTTATATACCAATGGCCTGCAACACTCGCTTCTCGTTCTCATTGAGATGGTCTGAAAACATTGCATAGCAGGGCTGCTGTGCAAACTGACAGAGGAAGTCAGTGAGATAGGCCTGAAAGGAAGACGGAAAGACCCAGTTAGCATCACATCACTTGGGAAATTCTATTTCTTTCACATATCAAAAGGTAAACCTCAGCATGCACCACGTAAGACAAAGGGATTGCAGGGAACAGAAAAGCAGTGCAGAAGGAAAGGGGCAGCAGAGGGGAAGGGCTGAGAAACGGCTGCCAGGTGGTGGCAAAAAGCAGGAGCAAAGTATCATAGAGGGGCTGTAGCTGGACGGGAGCATCTCCCAGTGGAGTAGGGAATTCTACCACGTTCAGCCTCCAATCTGCTTC